CAGGCCGACTTGAGTCGTAATTGTCTTAAAATCTTAATTGTTAGTGAAAACTGAATTAAAATATATAAAGTATCACGTCACGTCCAAATTTTGTGGTCATCTCAACTGTTATAAATGGGGAAAATGTATCACCAAGTGTCTCAACAAAAACCTTCCTTACCCTACCGTGTATCAGTCACCTTACACACGATGGGGCTGGTGAGAATCTTTTTGTTTTTGTCAAGACGTCGGTTGATAATTATCTTTGATATGAAGGTCATATCCACTCTTATGGTAAAATGACGCCCTCCAGAATGAGACTTGTGTCATGTTCAAGTACGTTTACTGAGACAATAAGATACATCTCAAAAGGATAGAGTAGCTTAGGCTATGCAGGCGATGAGTCACAATAACGTGGCTGAAGTATGTTGACCAGACCACACACTAGAAATTGAAGGGACGACGACGCTTCGGTCCGTCCTGGACCATTCTCAAGTCCAGGACGGCATTCTTCGACTTGAGAATGGTCCAGAACGGACCGAAACGTCGTCGTCCCTTCAATTTCTAGCTTAGGCTATTTCTACCCTTCTGATGTCATGGGAAATGACGAGCTCGTAGGATTCTGAGCCGGATGTAGTCCTTTCTCTCTTCCCTGGCAGGATGCGCTTCTCTGTCCGGATTCCCGACTGCCAGAGCATAATAAACGCTTTTATTTTTTAATCTATTGGAAACAAGACTGCTGTTCCTGGCCGTCTGGAGAGGTGGGTGGGTCCACACTGTGACACGACGCCATGATAGGCCTACCCGTACTGCTGACCACTTTAGGCCTACCCCTAATGCTGATCGCTACCAGATGGTACCGACTACTATAGGCGCACCCGTGTTGACCACCTCCAGGTGCTACTGGCTGGTTGATTACCTGGTTGATGGGGTTCTGGGAGTTCTTCTACTCCCCAAGCCCGGCCCGAGGCCAGGCTTGACTTGTGAGAGTTTGGTCCACCAGGCTGTTGCTTGGAGCGGCCCGCAGGCCCACATACCCACCACAGCCCGGTTGGTCCGGCACCGGACCAACCACTAGTGGCCACTAGAGGCCTTCCCTTAATGCTGATCGCTACCCAGTGTTACTGACTAGTATAGGCGTGTCTATGCTGACCACCCGGGGAGGGGGGAGGGAGTAAAGGGGATGGAGAGGCACAGGTGAAGGGAAGATTGGAAATAGGAGATATCGTGCGAGTTATGATAGCAGGCGCTCCACCCCTAGACTCGGGCGGGCGGGCAGGCAGGCGGGCGGCGGGGCGGTCAGGTCACACGGACCTGAAAGCGGTCGCCTTAGCCCTGCCACTACCTCACCACATACCCGCGCAGTTAATTATATAACGAAGTTATGTCCCTGAGGGCCACTATCTTTCTAATGGCATTTCTAATTCAAGTACGTTTATTGTCAATAATATACATCGCAAAAATAGTAGCTTAGGCTATTTCTACCCTCCCCTAATGACATCACTGGGATAAGCAACCGGCGGCTTGTTAATTATCACCCTCTGATAACTCAACCTCACATAAGTCCTGTTAATGTCCCTGTTACTGTAGCGTCAGTAACAACCAGAAGATGTTACGTCTAATTTTCCTTGTACAATGACATCCTGTGTTCCTAGCGGGTATCCGTGTGGTGTTGTAGGTTTTTGTTACATGGATTTTTCCCTTACCTAGTGTGGATACGTAGGCATACGGGCCGCTCCAAGCAACAGCCTGTTGGACCAAGGTCTCACAAGTCAAGCCTGGCCCTGGGCCGGGCTTGAGGGGTAAAAGAACTGCCAGAACCTGACTTAGGTACAACCCAGGCAATGTACCGTAAGCTCTTCGTACCATGCCTACTCATAGCGTACCGTAGTATTCGATAGATTATGCCAAAAAACAAAAATAAATAATAATAAAACCCAACCACACAGCAACCAAGCAACATAAATGGGCTTCAGGGTCAGGCCACCCAAACAGACGTACAACTGATAAACACCTCCCCCCCCCCCCTCCCGCATACAGCCGATGGCATATCAGAGTTGTACCTGGGAGGTGGGGCCGGCTGGGGATGTGAGGTCAGGTCACGGCCTAGGCGAGTCATCTGGTGGTCAGGTCACCACCTACGCAGCAGGACTCATCACCCTCGATACACTTTTATAATTCAAACTTCTCCATTAAAACGAGTAAATATATTACCGACCGTACATTTATTTCTTAAGCGTGTCAGATCCTAACAGTTCAAACACTGCATTTCCTCTTCCTTGTTTAACACCTTTGTTCATGGTCGATCATTTTACACTGAAGAATCACAAAATAAAAGCTAAATGGTCAGTAAACTTTCTCCCCTGACGAGCCAGAAGATTCTGACTGGGGACTTAACCCCTCCCTATCTTATCCCATCCACCCCCCACCTCCTTCCTCTACCTTCATACGTTCATATGCCTGTGGTTACAGGGTTGTGCTTTAGCTCCTGTCCCCACCTTATCTACATTGGTGTCGGTCC